AGAACGTCTGCAGACTGCCACTTTGTGCATGGATCATGCGCCGCCGTGTAACAAAAGTGTCATCTGGGACTCTGCAGTCGGCAGCAATCAGCCTGGTGGATTCTATTTGCTTCTACACCTGTGACATCCGATCAAAGTCCATCAGTGTATTTGTGGTTTCGCCTAGTGGATACCATGAGAACAAGAAGCCGTTCGTCCCAAGGCATGCTGGGTGGGTGTGGCGTGAGAGAAGTGCACGGTTCCAGACCAGCCCCTGTTCCTGCTGACAAGCACGTGCGGGAACGAAAAGGAGCCAGAAGAACAAGCGCAGCAGCTGACAGCAAGAAGACGTCGATGCTGAACCCGAGGCTGCCTGCCGCAGACTGTAGACCCTAAGTCGTAAAGGCGTGTGAAAATGTATCGGCCTTGTCACAGTCCTTGTTAGGAATAGCATCCCTGGTATTCCGCTGTAGATGCAGTGAAGAGTAAGTTCTGCTAGAACAAAGCAGGGAACATGAATCTTGCAGAGCTTTGCCGCACAAAGCGTTTCTGCAAGACTTCAATGTTGATCACTGGCATGTTTACTGCATGCTAAAAGAAGAGAGCGAAAAGAACACGCCAATACTCCCCGTACACTGGTTCGCCTCTCTGTGGGTGATGCAAGGAATGACAATCTGCATTTTGGGTCAATGTTTGCAGGTAGAGTTCCTGGGTAGTTTGTATGGTTGCATCATCACAGGTGCATCGCGACGCATGTTGGGGGAGAACTATGGCAGATGTACAATAAAACTGATAGACACTCTGAACCTGGAGAGCATGTCAACCCTCTATCTCAAAAGGGTCTCCATGTAGTTGTGCTTCCTCCTCCTCCTCCTCTAAGCCGTCTTGTGCCTGCCACAACGAGATCGTTCAACATTCATCCTCCTTCGTCGAGCTTGTGCAAGGTTGGCAAACAGCCAGAGAGTAAGTGTTGACCACCCATGCCCGAAAGGTTGTCACTGTCATGCTTGACAGACCTACAGTTCTCCCGAAGCCGGTGTTGCATTGCGACACAAACGGATCGAATCTGCAAGACTGAAAGGCCGAAAAGTTGTCCATGTTCTCGCAGTTTGGCTCAAAAACACAAAGGCGGCAAAGTAGTAGATCAGGAGCATCCGCTGGCAGTTCACCAGACAATGGCACGAACTCGCTCCAGTCTCATTGCCACGCTCCTGCAACATGGTTGCATCCTGTGAATGTGTGCAAGTGACAGGTCCCGACGGTCTAAGGAGATGTAAGCTCTTGCTTGATCAGATGAACTGAGGTTGATGGCTGTGACCATGGTTGCACTGCAGGCACTATCGTGTCGGACATGCCACGAGCCTTGTTTTTCTCCTGAATAGCTGCTAGGCCTTCGTGCCGGCTCCCCGCGCCGAGTCCCCATCTCTTCGTGGCCTGGCTACGGCCGCCGGCATCGCCGCCGCGCCGGGCGTGGCCTCTGCGGCTGACGAGTACTTGAACTACAACATGACCGGCACCTCGCACGCTTCTCGTGATACGCTTCTGTCTCCCCCACACCATCAGCCTATGCAGTTTCTTTATCATTGGTTAATCCGTGGTTGAAGCCCTGAGCTCAATAATCTTCCCACTCCTGGCATAGCTGCATGGTGACAGGCAGGTGTAATTGTCGCTTTTGGGTGGCGGTTGATGATGGGTTCATGTAAGGTGAGTTCACTCCCTTCATGGTTATTGGGTATTTTGGCCTGACGACTTTCCTCACCGCCTTTGCCTTCGGCTCCTATTTGGTCTTGACCAAGCTGAAGATCATCTGAGTGATCTGAGTCTACAGTTGAAGCCGTTTCCCCCAAGAAGAATAACGAGTAGCTGAAACCTACGTTCTGTACCTGAGCGAATCTTCTAAAACACCAAAGACATGACATGCTGTTGATCATGACCATCTCTCAAGAAAAGCCGCCCAATCAGAATGGGCAGATCTTTTTCCAGTTAGACAAGCAGTCGGGAGCGCTGGAACGGCCACCAGCCAACAGAGGAATCCGGCAAGGTCGCGTTACTGCGAAAAGCTGGGCCGGCAGTTCACAGCCAGTGACCACAAGATCTTGCTGCATTCTGAGACTGCTGTATCACTATGTGCCTCAGTGCAGCTGGCCATAGAGCTCAAAGGAAGGATCCTGAAGGCTTACCCAAGAACAGCTCGCCCAGCCATGGCTGCAACAAGATCACGCACCAGCCTTCTGGCATCGCTTCTGTCTCTCAGATGCAGTTGCGGGCTCGAGAGCGAGCATTTGTTTGTTCCAAGGCTGTTCCGAGTCGGCTTTGTCATGCATAGAATCGAATGCTTAGACAAGTCTCCTCTCATTTTCTTCGCACCGAAATTACAGAACTGAATATCCTAGAGCCGACGAACCTGAGAAGAAAAACACAAACCCAAGGCTGTCTGCGGCCTGCCTGGTCTCCCTGCAGGCTTGGACTCTCGAACACAAGCTCGATTTAGAGTGTAGACACAGGATGCCGTGTGGTACGGTTGTTCTACGATCTTGACAGAGCAGAGAAAATCTCCGCCAATTCTGGGAAGCTCCCAGCACCCTTCAGGCTTTCGTGCCGGCTCCCCGCGCCGAGTCCCCATCTCTCCGCGGCCTGGCAGCGGCCGCCGGCATCGCCGCCGCACCGGGCGTGGCCTCCGCGGCTGACGAGTACTTGAACTACAACATGACAGGCGGGCACAAGCAAAGCTTCTAGAGGTTTGAGGCTTCATTGTCCCTCCTATCAGTCGGACCGATCACAGTCGACTCGTGCGAGGTGAGTTCACACCTTTCATGGTTATTGGGTATTTTGGCCTCACAACCTTCCTCACCGCCTTTGCATTTGGCTCCTACCTCGTCTTGACCAAGCTGAAGATCATCTAAGAGCACCTCGAGGCTGCGTCAGGAATCCAAACTATGTAAGACGTCATTTGCATCCCGTGTTTTGTATCCCAGAGAAGTTTTGCAGTGGACAGGTACTGACGCGAGCTCCTTGGCCAAAGATGATTTTCCAAGGCATGCTGTCAAAAAGCCACATGGTTGCTTACTTTTCAATCGGACTGAGATACCTGAATGAAGGTTATGTCAGAAATCGAAGCTGAAAGATGACTGAGGCAAGACGATTGATATTTCTATTTTCACACACACATACCACATACATACATACCTACATACATATATAAATATATATGTATATGCATACACATGCACTTGAGAGAGTTGAGTTTCATGTAAAAATACCATGAAGCGTTTTAGGAATACACGATAAGGAATGAATTGCCAATCGATGATTGGTTCTATCATACAAAACAGGTATACAGGCAAATTGACCCTATAAACCACCACGGCCCAACTGCCCTCGTGCGGTGCCACGGTCCCGGGATGTATTTTCTCCAAAATTTCGCCGAATAATTGGGCTCGACAATCAGGGCCATGTTGGTGATTATTCTTATGACACTGCATGGACTTGAGCGGGCATCTGGGAGACTCCAAGGAAGATGGTGCAACAGGTCGGCTGCGTTCTCGTTTGGCTGCCAGAGTTTATTAACCATTGAAGTTCTCAAAAACTTGCAAATTTTTCCGGGATGGCTTCATAGCGACAGCGAGCCAAAGTCAGAGCTTGCGGTTTCGCTTTTGTGCCGCACGCATGTGGGATATCGTTGTTGTTGCGCAAAGGGGCAGGTTTTGGGACCCGGCTGTTGCGGGTGCTCCTCAAGGTGTTCCTCGTTTGGGTTGCGGTTCCGAGTTCCAGGTTCCGAGTTCCGTGTCCCGGTTCCGGCTTCTTTGACTGTTCCAGGTTCGGTTGGTGCGCATCCTGGGTCTTCCGAGTCTTGGGTGTTCCGGATGTTGCGGGTTGTGGGTGTTGCGGGTGTTTTGGGTGTTTGTGTCATTTTGTGTCTGTTGGGTGTTCGGGGTCTTCCGGGTTCAAGGGGTGTTCTGGGTTCGGTGCGATGTTCTAGGTTCTGGGTGTTCCGGGTGGTTCGGGTGTTTCGGCTGGTTTGGTACTTCCGGGTGTTGTGGGTCTTATGAATATTATTGGGTCATGGGCGTAATCGAGATTGCAAATCTAGATTCTACGTTTGGATTCTTGGGTGGTTGTCAAAATTAGGGTCCCTTTTGGGGTACCCTAAATAATAGGTGCCGTATTATAATAAGGACCCAAAAAGGGACCATAATTTTGACAATCACCCATATTTAGTTATTAGTTCGGAGGGATTATCTCCGTATTTCTCTCGAGATATATATATATATATCTTCTGAATATGAATATATAGATTAAGAATATATTTAGATTCGAAGTGAATATTTATTTTATCAGAAGATTTATTCATATTATTATATATATAATTTTTCTTAAGAAATAGGATTGATTATATATATATATATATTCATATAGAAAAATTAATTTTCAGAAATTCTATATTGAAATTTTTATATGAACAATAGACTCTGATTTTTGAATAGAAATAGAATTTTTCATGATATTGAAAAAACTATTTTCTTATTGATTTCTTTACATATCTTCAAATCTTGATATGAATTAATAGATTATCTTAATATTTTCTATTTTATTCATAAAATAAATAATATATACAAATATATATAAATAAATAAAAATATATATATATATATTCATTATCTGTGGGATCGAAAATTTCAAAAAAAATGAGCCAAATCTATGGAAAATTATATAGAGTCTAGTATATTGAATTATATATTCATATAATACCAAGGGGAATTGAATTTCTCAGAAAAAATTATAATTTTTTTTGGAATCAAGATATTGATCCGGTTGGATAGGATTCAATTTTTTCTTTTCTTTATATTTATAGATTATTTATGGATTAAGAAATAAATGAAATATTTCATGAGATTTAGATTTGCTGAATCTCAATTATTAGAAATATGATCGATTCAAAAATATTATTCTTGATTAAAATTTTGAATCATAGAAATTATAAATAAATATATTTTTCAGATTATAAATATATATTCATATTCTAGATATAAATAAGATATAAATATATTATTCAAAATAATATATATATATATATATTTATATTTGTCGAAACGGCTGCGGCGTAGCAAGTCCAAAATTGTCGAGCAAACTCATTAAGATGGCGACGCCAGGTTGGAGCTCTTTACTTGCTTGGCGCATACAGACTGGAGAACCTATATAAAATTCTATAGCGAGACTTTGCGAGCCTTGGAATGAATAAGATACGGATCTTCGATCCTTATGTCTTCGAGAAAACCTCCTTTGAGGACTGGGAGGCAGCGAGGGAGTTCCGAGCAGAGTGGCCTTACTGAAAGCCTTCAGATCCATTTGGGGATATAAGCTGATATCCAAGTATCATAAACCTCAGCAGCTGGTTTTTACCAAACCGCAACTGACGGAGCACCTCGAATGCCGGAATTGACCCTTCTTATATGGTTTGGTCCGCCGCCCAGGCAGCCGCACCGAAACAGCCCCGCTAGCCCTCTAGATAATTAAATAAGAATATATATATATATATTTATTTATATTTAAATTGATTTCTCTTATTTGAAAATCAAGAGATATTTTGATTCATTTTGATTTCATTGAATTATTATTAGATTCTGAAAATTCATCGAATCTTTATCCTATAATATCGAGAAAGAAATCATAATTTTCCTTTTTCATATCATTTTTGATATTGAATTCAATCTTTTTCTTATATTTCCATTATGAATATATCTATATATATAGCAAAGAATTAGATTGACTTCATAAATAGAAAGATATATTTGATATATATATATATATTCAAATATATATTATCATCAATGAATTATTTATTTTAGAAAATATTCATTTCTAAATTTATTTTATGAAGGATTGATGTTTATTATAGATATCAAATATCTTTATATCAAAAATTATCAAATTGATATATAAAAATATAAGATCTAAATTTCAAGAAATAATTATAATAATATCTCCAATCGAATCTTCTGAAATTTCTCATTATTTATTATATTTATCATCTCATTTCGAAAATTTCTCATAGAGATTATATTTTTAGCATAGAAATATTGTCTAAATTAAAAACGAATCTAATAGAATCTTAATAATTCATCTTATCTCAAATAATAATATTCATATGAATATAATTTTTAATTGATTCAGAAAAATGATTCGATAATTATTTCAAATTCTATTCAAATTTTCTCTATAAAATCAGAATCAATAAATTCTCCTATTAAGAATTATCTGCGTTCTCTCTTAATAAGAAATGAGCATGTGCCTTAAAAAGCTGGGATTTAGATCGATAATATGATTCTAGGTCTGGGCAGCCACGATTTTTTACATGATTCTGAATCCTTTATGTGGTACTGGTCCATAACTTTATATAGATAGAAAGATCTAGATACGAGGAATATGATTCTGGCTTTAGATAGATAGGACATATCTATCTCTAGAAATGAGGTCCTGGAGATTTATAAGGAATAATTAAATACTGCGGTAGGACGAAAATTCGTCGCACTCTCTATGTCGCTCTTGAATAGGACATAAACCCCTTCTCCCCGTAGACTCCTCCACCCAGTCCTCCGCCGGGAACAATATAGTAGTATA